GAAGGCTTGTACCAAAATGTAAAATTTGAAAAGTTTTGGTACTAAAATGTCATAATGAAAAATTTTAGGTACCAAAATGTAATTTTCCAATGATATTTTTCGTATAAAATATAAATTTTAGGTACCAAAATGTAAAATATAAAAAATATAGGTACCAAATCGTAATTTATCGTTTGGATCCATGGATTGATCCATGAATCCACCAATCCAATTGGATTTGGATCAAATGGATTGGATTTAAATGGATTGGATTAGGTGGATGGATTGGATTGGATTGGATTGGATTGGATTCATGGATTTGGATCCTAATTGCCACCTCTACTAACTGCTTATGGAAGAAAAAAAAATGGTTGTAACTGGTTAGGGATTTCAATGCATCATATATACTTACTGGTTATGACAAGGTTTTTCAATAAAAAGGGTGAAATGACTCATTGTATGTTTTTGCTTTATGAAAAATATACTTACTATACTTTTTTTTAGTTTCGTATTTGTTTGGATCATAATCGCATTGAACTTTCCATTACATCAAGTAAAATGTAATTAGTTATTATCTGGGATTACATGTTGATGAATTTTTATTTTCCAATATATTCTAGTGAAAACTTTGGTGCCAACAGTTATATAAAAGATTTCAGGTTGATCTTATATCAAGTTAATAAGATATAAAAATAATAATAAATAATTCTCATAAAATTTCAAATCACCATTTTTAACTTTCACATAGTTGAGTACTACAGTATATTGATGTTTATTAAAATAAAAGATTTATGAGCGAAGCTCAAGCAGGCACACTAGGGGTAATAAGTTGGGAGTGCTTTACCAATAAGAAGTTCTTTCATCTACTTAGAAACTTTATATATTTCTAAATGTAAAATTTGTAAACAAATTCAGATAATAAAGTAATTGGTAAGATTTTATCCCCTCTCCAATTACCACGGTTTAAATCTCTTGAGTTTAGATATTTTAGTCACGTTCGAATTTCTAATTCCGTCACTGATAATATGCACTTATTTTCGCGAATGTGTAATGAAAATATTTTTTTACACTAATACTGTAACACACTAATCCAGCCGGACAACACCTTTACCAAAATGCCCTTAATAAATACTTAACATTAAATACTTTGAAAGAAACGGAAACGTAAAATATTAAATCACACTCAATATGCGAACAATCTTGAAATACTTGTCTTAATAAACATCTTTCATAAAATTGCATCAAGTCTCTCGTCCTACTAAAGTATCTGAAGTTAAAGTCTTCCTGCTGGAGTGCTTTGGAGCCATTGATCCTTGCCACGAGCTGCTGAATTCCTGAGTGTACTTTTGGAGGTTCTGCAATCCCTGAATGCGGGCAATGGGGTCAGTCCTAATCCTAATTTCTTTATCAAACACGAGCACAATCATGCACATGCAATGCTTACGGTACGTTATTGGGTACATTAGTAGAAGTATATTATTATCAACATATTCTTACATAGTATTCTCTTCTTACTTAACTTGAAATGGGATCTTGCCCTCGACCTAACTTGCACAACTGCCCGGCACCAACGTATCATGAACATAACCTCCTCATCTACAAGGAGTAACATAACATACCTCCCCATCTACAGTGAGCAGTGGTGATCGCGTCCGGCACCGATCATGACATACATATCATGACCCCTCATCTACAAGGAGTAAGGTGACCGCATGCGACTAGTTAATTAGGGAGGGTTCTTATTCATACTTATTAACTTGATATCATACACGTGCTTACTTGAAACAACCTCTCACACGATGTAGAGACATACTTAATCTTGTACCTGCTTACTTGACTTGATAAGTTTGAGCTTACTTAGGTGATCTCCCGCACAATGAGAAAGATATAAGCTTATTAACTTGCACTTAATTAGCTTATAGTTGAACTTGTATTGGCTTGACTCATAACCCAGTTTACTTATGCTTCAATGATGCTATGCACACTTAAAGTAATGACTGAATGTAAATGACTTAGCTAAACATGGAAGAGTATAAGGAATAACTGAAATGCATAACATAGACGTAAATGCATAGACTGATAACAAAAACTGCTCTAGCTCCTGTTAACCACACACCTTAGGCTTGAATTTACATCAAATTGTCATTTGTGCTCCTCCGAGATTAACGATTTGCCTACAGGAACCTCTAGCCAAAGCCGGAGTTAGTGCCTCGTGCTATGATCCACAGTCGACCCTCCGTCCGAAGAGGTGAAGAGGCCTCGACCCGACTCCACGTTGGACCACACCATTTATCCCACCGCTACAAGCCCGTCATCCCACCATGAGCTAATACGATACCGTACTTGATCCGAAATCGAGGAACTCATTCGTTGAGTTTGACGCTCTTCGTACCCTCGCCTATCCTTGCCTCGACTAGATGATCGATTTTGTAACCGGCACTGTTGCCGGCAACTGCTTCTCAAATCGTCATGTCCTTTAGACCCGCAGTCACGGCAGATTACCTTCATCGATTATGGAACGATCTTCTAACCGACTATTTCTTTCCTTCTGAGGGACGCGTCGATTTCAGTCTCTCCCGCACTAGCTGTTCGGCTGTTCCTGATTGTTATGGCGGCGACGGCAGGTATTCGAGAAAATAAGGATACTTATGGGATAGCCTATAATTAGTTTAATTGTTAGGTTTTGAAATAGTTAGAAATATGTTTACAATTAAACACTTGTCGTATAGCATTTTTACTATTACATAGTGTTTAAAATTAAACAACAAATGAGTTGCAATCTAAAGGAGAATATGTTTAATAATAGTAGTGTTCTGTGTTTGAATAACACATACTACCGCTTATATTTTTTAATATACAAACTACAACCAAAAGTATGATAATCATTTTTTCAAATTTTAGAGGTGTCCCGAATTATCAATTATAGTTATATCCATACGAAACTACTACTTGGGGGTTGATTCTCTCAAATTTTAGGGGTGTCTCGGGACACTCCTAAAGCTACATGTATCCGCCACTGCCCTTAGGGTTTGGGTTTTTAGCTTAATTATATAGTAATTAGGCAATTTCTAATCAGTGAAGGTTATTTTAGGAACGGTACAAAAATAATTAAAGAATCGGGTGTTACAAATACTATCTTAAATTATGGGAAAATTTTAGGAAAATCATTGAAAAATAAATTATGTAAAGTATTTAACATCATAAAAATTTAAAGAAAACTAAAAAACATGTTTCTCTTGTTTCGGGCCCATGGTCTGGATGATGATGATGATGGAGCTGTGCTTCGGGCCCATGGTCTGGTGTTTGATGGGATTGTGTTGCCGATGCTGGCGGGATTGCTAGCTTTGCGGGAAGCGGTCCAGATGTGTGTGGCTGCGCAGTTTCATCCGGTGCTGGTGGTGGGCGATGCTAAGGTCATCATAGACAAGGTAGTAGCTGGGACGACTAGCGATTGCAGTGGTGGAGCCATTTTTTAGGATATTCGTCGGCTGGTGGAATTGTGCCCGACGGTGGAGTTTCAGTTTGTTGGCAGGAAGAACAATAGGGTAGCCCCATTGTGTGGCTAAAAAGGCCCTCTTTTTGTTTCCTGTAGGGTGTAATGGGTTCGATTTCGGTGCTTGGCTCTCTACGGAGGCCAACATTGTCTAACTTATTTTTTCTTGATTAATGCAAGCAATATTTTCGTTAAAAAAATGTTTCTCTTGTTTCGATAACATAATAACGAGAAAATAATAGTTTGACAAGTTCAGACCAAAACAAAGTATTAACTGAAACATCGATCGTCCTGCGTAAACCCACAAAACCAGGCGGAAAATCCACTAGCCATCCGATTCCAAACAAACCCCCTTTGACCAGAAAAACATTTAAATACACCAAGACGATCATCTCTCACTTTTCATTCAGACCCATGCAAACCGCAAGAATAGCAGTCAACAAAAGATCCAAATCGCTACCATTTCTCCTCTTCTTCTTCTTCTCGACACAACTCTTGTTGTTGTCGTCACTATTGTTCATTATCGCATCCTCCCACGACGCGACAGATGCCCCTCTAGCCCAGGCACTGGCGGATCTAGGGCTAGGCCAACCCGGGCCATGGCCCAGCACTCCTCTAGATCCAGAGTTAGTATAGTGCTTATAAATGTTTTGGATTTAGGTATTCGGTCCAGTACTATTTAAAATTCGGTCCAGTTTTATTTGATAATAGAATTTTGTGTAAGTAGAAAATGGTCCAAATGGACATATCCAAACCACTAATCTAAATCTAGACTAAAAATTCTAGCCCCAAATATTTTTATTTGAAAAAAGACATTAAAACTGAAAAGTCTAAAAATATTATAGTTTCATTGAAATAAAAAAAAATGACTAAACTAAAGCTAACCCTTCCCTTCAAAATTCAAAAAACGTTCCTAATCACCCCAAAACAAAACAAGAACAAGGAGACGAACTGATCTGAAATGGATTACTACGCTAGTCCGTCGTGCGCTAGTTTTCTTTCGAGTCTTAGAAAATATTTACAAACTTGTTAAGTCATCATTTAGATTGCCTCAGTTGAGTGGAAACTGGGATTGGGAATTTTTACTTCTCTTGCAAAATTACTAGAGGAGTTGGTGGAAACAAGGATGGAAACACAATACAAATTGATTTGTCAGTTGATTCATCTAATGTTGACCTTGCCTGTTTTAGCGGCTACCATTGAGAGAATATTTTTCAGCAATGGAACATGTGAAAACTGATTTGTGCAACAAAATGAATGATTAATTTCTCGTCGATTGCTTAGTTATTTTCTTGAGAGAGAGTATGATATTAGTATGGATGGAGATTATATTATTGATGGGTTTGCTAAATTAAAAGAATCTTCTTGTATAATTGAGATTGTAATGAAAACTATAGTCATTCTATATTTTACGATAGCTAATATTCTATTCAAATGCGGCCCAGTGTTGTACTATGTACTGGATCCGCTGCTGAGCCCCGGGGGATTACAACCCCAAGAACTTCGAGGACTAAACGAGGAGAAAGTCCTCGGACCCCACGAGAAGTTCGGAAACCCGTTTGGGAACAAAAACGACTACCAGAAACAGAAGCTCCCCGAAGACATCGGGACCCCACTCGACGACGAGATCAGCAACCTATTGACGACTGACGCCAAGCAACAAACCGTCGGGGACGCAGCCGGCCTCATAGAGTCCAATGTGAAAGCCATCAAGGCCGAGGGCAGTCTGAAAGTGGACGACGGCACCGCTGCGGGTGGGGCCACTGCGTTCCACACTGCGGGCCTCGCCAATAGCAGCGACGATGCTGCTGCTGGCGTCGCGGTGGCCAAAGGTAAGCTTGCGTCGAACATACAGCTTGTGAACCCTACCGGGTTCAACGGGAAGTGGGAGTTGTTCTGCGAGAACAAGGGCGTGTCTTCCATGCACACCATCCTGTTGCCCAAGGTGAACAAGGTTTTGATGTATGACGCCACGATCTGGAGGGTGTCGAAGATCCTCTTACCCAACGGACACTGTCGTGTGTTGAATGAGAAGACAGGGGAGAAGGATTGCTACACGCACTCTGTTTTGCTCGACATGAATACCACCCAACTCACGCCACTTGAGGTAACGTAAATCGACTCGACTCAACTCAACTTAAATTTCTTGTGTTTAACCATGATGATGACTAGTGTGATGGTTAAAAGTCGGTTAAAATATTTTGTTTGTGCAGCTTCATACCGATACATGGTGTTCGTCTGGAGGTTTGATTCTAGAGGGTAACCTTGTGAATACCGGTGGTTTTCAGGGAGGAGCTAATACAGTACTTGGAAACTTTCCCAGGCTGCATTTGGAGGAATACCCCAATGCCATTGCTGCTCCTAGATGGTAAGGAACATATATTAATTCTTCTATTCCAAGATCTTAACTATACAATCGGACTATTGTGCTCACATCACCAATCTGTGAAAACGTTCCCATAGAGGTTGGAAGTTGTTAGATCGGTCGAAGGATGTCCTGTAATCGTTGGATGGATACAACTACAACATTATAAAGTAAATATCACCATGTGCATCCAACGAGCGGACACCAAACGTCTGATTTGCTGACTCTCGGCTCTGTAAGCACATTAGCAAAAAATGATTGTGAGAAGTGAACACCGTAGTTGGATTTTCAACTACAAAACTTAGAGATCGCCTAGATAATGGAATTAGATGAGTCGGTTTGACTCAATTGCCTCGTCGGGCAACACATAATAGAAATGCGACAATTGACTTGAGACAATTTGAATTGCTTTATTTTGCATCAATTTGAATTGAAGGGGAGGAGCAAGTATTTTTGCAATGATGATTTTGAGGCGATTTAAATCCATTTTCATGAAGTCCATCATCCAAACTAACCCAGGCTAGTTAATCGAGTGTAATGCCACTTGTTTAACCCAAGAACGGTGGGCCCATCCTCATAAAGGGTGGTTACCATACATTTTAGGGCTCACAACTGTTTTATAAATGGAGGCCTGTAGGGGTGTTCAAACGGATTGGTTACCGTGGTAACCATATTAACCGGTAGTATTCGGTTACTTTGGTTTGGTTTGGTTAAATAATTTAGCTTATTTGGTTTAGGTGGTTTGGTTTGGTTTCAACACTGCTAACCAATGAAACCAATTACCCAATTAATGATACACCTAATATACAAAATTATATATATTTCCATGCAACCAACCAAACCAAACTTTCATGATTCCCTATTTTATTTCCATGTGCACAACAAACCAAAGCATTATGGGTCAAAAACCTAATGAGTCTGCCTATTTACTAAACCAAAACATTTTGGACAGCTACTAGACTTTAGGATTACGTACAATACCATGACAGCCACCTCAAACTATGTATAGTTTAAGTGTTTTGTAAGAGAGCTTTAATTTCCTGATGAGTGGCATTGGTATGTATTTAATATTTATGTTAAGGTTTGTTGTAATCTAACTATACTAGGTGCAGAGATGATGAATGATGATTATCATGATGGTTAGTCTTATTATTATCGCTTATGTATAATGATAGTTTATGATAGTAATAACATATGGTTATGTTTTATTCATTAACAAGATGATTGTTTTCATGTAATGTTATGTTATTTGGTTAATCCGATTATCCGATTAACCAAACCAATTAAACTTTGGTTTCGTTAATTTGGTTTTCGTGTTAATTTGGACGGTTTGGTTAAGACATTTTATTCCGTGGTTAATGAAATTTAGGCTTAATTGGTTTGGTTATTACCACGGTAACCATTTGAACACCCTAAAGGCCCTACCCACAAATGTTTTGATGTGCCACTGTGGGAAATTTCAGGTACGCCACCTAGGCCCAGATGTCGGACGGAAAGATGATGGTGGTCGGCGATAGAGACGCCCACAACTACGAATTCATCCAACAAGAAGGACAACACAACGCGGCGTCGATCAAGTTCGACTTCTTGACCGAAACCACCGACAAGGAAGAGAACAACCTCTACCCCTTTGTCTACCTCAACAACGACGACAATGTCTTCATCTTTTCCAACAATCGCGCCGTCCTCCTCAACCCTAACACCAATCAAATCGTCAAGGAGTTCCCTCTGCTGCAAGGTGGCCATACAAACTACCCGGCCTCCTCCCGTTGAAACTCCACTCTGGGAACCAGGGCAACGTCGTTGTCGAGGTCCTCATATGTGGAGGCTCCGCCCACGTCAATTCCTACACCAAGGGGAACGAGGGCGTCTACTACGTCGCGCTCCAGGACTACGGCCGAATGCGAATTACCGACCTGAATCCGGTCTGGAAGCGAAATCTGATGCCTTCGCCGCGTCTAATGGGAGATATGTTGCTTCTCCCCTTCGGTGAAGTCCTGCTAATCAATGGCGCTAAAAGGGGATCTTCAGGTTGAGGTTTCGCCAGAGACCCTAATTTCACCCCCTGTGATCTACAATCCACGTGTAAAGGGAGGGGAAAGGTTTAGGAAGCTCGCTCCGACCACGATCCCCAGGATGTACCACTCCACCGCCACCGTTCTCCAGGACGGAAGGTCTTGGTCGCCGGCAGCAACACCAACAACAGGTTCGTCTATGACGCAATGTTTCCGACGAAATTGAGGGCCGAGAGGTTCTCCCTGCCGTACTTGGACCCCGTGCTTGAGAAATTCAAGCCCCAAATCGACGTCGAGGCAACGCCGACGCAGTTGGCGTTCAACCGAAAGATTGTAGTATAGTTCAAGGTGAAGCAGAAGAACGTTAGAGTGACGATGTACGTGCAGGCGTTCACGACTCACAGTGTGTCGATGAAAATGAGGCTGCTGGACTTGGGCCTGGAGGCAGTGAAGCCCAATGGAAATACCAATAGTACGATCGCTCCTAAAGAGTATTGTTTGTTGTTCGTTGTTAATTAGGGAATACCAAGTGAAGGAATCTGGGTTCAGATTAAGTGAAGAGATTTTTTTTATAGGAACCTAGATTCATATTATTAAGAAGATCAAGTTGGGCCCAATACAGTTGGCCTCAAATCGGCCTCCATTAGACAGAGAAGGTTCAAAGGTGGGCTATCCACCCACACTATCTGCCGATCCCAATCCGACGTCGCAAGGGCAAGCCAGTGCACCGTGGAGTTGTTTGCACGCGGAGTGAAACTCCAGCTCACCTTCTTCCCTGACAAAGCTTCATTTGCTCTCGAGAGTTTCCAGATTTCTTCACACCATATCCTAAGCTCATAATAATCTTCCTCCTCTATCTCCAACTTCCTTAAAAGCACTTTACAGTCAAATTCCACCACCAGGGGACTGAGTTCCCTTCTGTTAGCTTCCTTTAATCCCATGATAATTGCTTTCGCTTCTGCTTCGATTGGTCTGCATGACCCTCTCTCTTTCTTCGCCAGAGCTCCACACAAAGATCCTCTCCAATCACGAATCACTCCCCCAAGACCGATTCCCGACGGGCTAAGAATGCCAGCATCTGTATTTAATTTCTAGAATTCCTCCAGTGGCGGAGACCAACCTCCCATGGAACCCGATCGAGTCAGCGTCCTGTTCACAGTTACACCCTCAACCTCCACCTCCTGGGCGTCAAGATATGATTGGAGCCAGCCCAGTGCTTTCGGGATAATGAGATCTTCATCCAATTTATGGTTGTTGTTGAGATGGTTGCATCTTTCCTTCCACAGGCACCAAAGCACAACTCCAAACTTTTGAATTTTTTCCACAGAGTTTTTCTAGATCTCCTTAATCCAATCCAAGAATGATCTTCCTTCACCAATTTCAAACAGGTTCTTTTCTTCCCAGTCTTCCCAACAGCGTCGAATCCAGCTACATGCTCTCAGGGCATGAATCTGGGTTTCCGGTAGCCCACAAAAAGGGCACTCCGCACAGATTTCTTCAAACCACTTCTCAATGTTGCTTCCCACAGGTAAGATATTTCTACCCACTCTCCATAAGAACATACGAACTTTAGGAGGGATAGGTGTTTTCCATAAAGCCTTCCAGAAATCCGTTTCCTCCTCCGTGATAGTGTTAGGTCTGATCGAATTGTGAGTCATCTCCCCATAGATTCTTCGATAAGCAGACTTTACCGAATAGATCCCATCTTCTGAGTCGATCCATAGTCTGGAATCCTTCTTCAAAGGACACCGAAGAGGAATCTTAGATATAAGTTCAGCATCAAGCTTTGAGAACATCCCATTAATCTTTTCCTTGTCCCAGACATACCGCTCTTTATCAATGAGAGTGGAAACCCTCTCCGGGTCGTTCCTGCAATTTGGTTGAGGATCAGCATAGTAAAATCTTTTCCCAGGGATCCAAGCATCCTCCCAAATGCATATTGAGTTGCCCCATCTGAACCCCTCTCTGATCTTTTCTTTTGCATTCCAGATGCTCCTCCAAATGAAGCTGGGCATATATCCCGCTTTAGCATATAAAATATCAGACTTTGGGAAATACCTTGCCTTGAGAGTTCTGGCCATCAATGAGTTAGGGTGAGAGAGCACATTCCAAACATGTTTCCCCAGCATAGCCAAATTAAAATCTCGAAGGTTTTTGAACCCCATTCCCCCAACTTCCTTGTCATCACACAGGTCGTCCCATCCCAGCCAATGATGTTTAGGTTCCTTTCCTTTTTGTCCCCACCAAAAATTTGAGATCATTCTCTGTATATCCTTTAGAATACCTTCAGGAATGAGGAAAACAGTCATAGGATAAAGAAATTGGGCTTGAACAACAGCCTTAATATCTTCAAGTTTCTTCCTGACTCTTCCAATCTTTAAGTTTCTTCCTGACTCTTTCCTTAATATCTTCAAACATTTCCCTCTTAGATCTTCCCGCAATAGTAGGCAGGCCCAAATATTTTGGATGCTTTAGAACTTCTCTGATTCCAAGGGTTCCACATATTTCTAGTCTTCTGCTCGCCCGGACATTGCTACTAAAGGAGATCTCTGACTTGTTAAAGTTGATGAGTTGGCCTGATTCCTTTGCATAAGTATTCAGGATTCCTTTTAGAACATCACATTCTCTCAACGAAGCCCTTCCAAACACCACACTATCGTCTGCAAATAAAAGATGGGAAATATTAGGGGCCTTTTTCCTTATTTGAATTCCATGAAGTCTCCCTTCCTTCTCTGCTTTCTTTATTAGAGCAGATAGACCTTCAGCACAAAGCAGAAATAAATAAGGTGACAGGGGATCACCTTGACGTAATCCCCTAGTGGGTTGGAAATTCTCTGTCTTATGACCATTCACTAGGATTGAGTAAGAGATTAATGTGGAGACTAATTTGTTTTTAAAGTTTTAGATTCTTTGTTGCAACTAATTGGTTGATTAGTATGATTGGATTTTCATTCCAAATTGTCCTTAACAATATATTATCAAAATTATACTAGTAGTAATTATTTAGGAATGTTCATATACGAGATCACAAATGTAAATGGCTCGCGGCTAAATATGAATTGAGACAAGCAATCTAAAGCATTTTGTCCATTATCAAACACAAGCCTGACTAGTCGAGCAAGACCTAATTCACGCTCAAATTATCAATAAACGAGTTAGCACACTAAATATCGAGTTGAGTGCCAAATATTTTTTCAAACGGAGTTTTTAGCAACGTATTACCGAAATGGCTTTTTCGCGACCCTACTTGTAACTTTATTCCGATCGTGAAATGACATTTTACATCGATGAATCGACTAGTCGTAGAAGAGACAGTTCGGTGCAGGAATAGTATTTAACGACTAACGGGTGGTGACTTTGATGCCTAACAAACGGTTGCAGTATAACTTTGTCAGTCCTAGACACCAAAGTCTCCGCCTCTGTACTTTGGAAAAAAAATATCTAAGATGCCCTTCTGTTAAAATTTTCATTCATAAACCGTTAACCACGACCAAATTTTGGTTTGGACGGCACAAATATCTAAAATATCCCCAATAATTTCACTTTAGAATTTTTTTTGGTTCTTTTGTATAGCCAAATAATCCTAATAATTTCACTTTGAGGAGACCCAGAGAAATAAAACAGGGGACAAAACTGACATTTTCCCTCCCATTTGCCGATATCGGGTCGTCTAAATCTCGGTTCAACCATGATTGACGATTTTTTCAATGAAAATTTAAAATTTTAATAGAAGGGCATCTTTGATATTTTTCCAAAGTACAGGGGCATGTTTGATGTAAAAAATAGTATAAAGTCATGTTTGATAAAACGATATAGTAGAAGGGCATATTATACCTATAATCCTTCTTCTTTCCCTGAAACGGTAATAAACCACCACGAAAGAGATGACTAACACCATCAGCAGAAATTACTCACGTCGTCTCTCCAACAATAGGACATTTTGTGGGTTTTTCTTCTGATTTTGCAGTTATATTTTATGAATTACATTTTTGTTAATTCATACCTACGATAGAGTGCTATCTTCCACTCGTAGCGAAGCGCAAGTGAGCGGTACTTGAAGAAGGGACTTGATATTGTGGCAAAAGAAAGAATGGTGTTTTGCAATTTTTTTAATCCTGCAGGTGTATACGTCAAGGAAATTAACAAAATTGCCGGCCGGCAATTTGACAATTGCTTATAGTCTTATGCACGATCATGTTGGGACTTGGGGTTTCTCCCGAAAATGCAAATCCCTAACGCGTCCCAGCTTGGCAGAGGCTTAAACCCCATTACCTACTCGACGCTCTCCTCTCGTTACCTTATGCCGTCACCACTCTCTTGACGAAAGAAATCTGCAGCAAAGCACAGGATGGAAATTATAGCATTGTATATTGATACTCTAGACCATAACTTTAATATTCAGACAATCATCTCAAAGAGGAAAGACATTGTCAATGTGTTACCTGGAACTAGAATATTAAAAGAAGCTGGGAGCTCATCCATCTCACTGTATTGGAACCCCTATAAAATCCCATCAACCATCGTCAAGGAAAAGCATCCCCTGCGCCACCATTTCAGCCGAGGAAGCAAACCAGGAGCGCATCTAGCTTTCGGTGTACTTGGAATGGCAGGTTTGAGTTACCCTCTAGTACTGGCAGCTCTGTCTGCATTTATATTAGCATTGGCGCTCCATCCAGTCTCGGTTGATGCTAAGTTCTCAAAAAGTACCTACTTCAACTGGGGTGGTCACCATTCTTCGATCTCGGGAAATGGTGAGGACCTCCAGCTGGTATTGGATAAAACATCAGGTAAAGAGACTTTGTTTGCTCCCATACATTTGGATCTTCAGGGTTGATGAACTTCATTTAATTAATTTTGCAACCGCACGCTGAAACCTCAGGCTCGGGGATTCAGTCGAAGCAGGCGTTTTTGTTTGGCAGCATCCAAATGTTGATCAAGTTGGTCCCTGGGAACTCTGCAGGGACAGTAACTGCATATTATGTAAGTTAAAACGAAGAGGAAAAGAAATGTCGATCAAGGTGTTTGTCTATCTCTTTTTTCTTAATTATTCTGATCAGATCAAACTGTGTACTACAGGTATCCTCCACTGGGGATAGACACGACGAGATCGACTTTGAGTTCCTTGGAAATGTGTCTGGGCAACCTTACATCATCCACACCAACGTCTTCGTACAAGGAAATGGAAGCAGGGAACAGCAGTTCTACCCGTGGTTTGACCCAACTGCCAACTACCACAACTACACCATCCACTGGAACCCTACCGCCATTGTGTAAGTTAATGAGATAGAACATAAGAATAGATATGGTGTATGTGATATGATCGTGTCCCAACTCCTGACCTTACTATGTATTCAACAATGCAGGTGGTATGTGGACAGTGTGCCAATCAGAGTTTACCGCAACTACGAGAGCCAGGGGGTACCTTTCCCAAACAAACAAGGGATGAGGGTTTACTCTAGCCTTTGGAATGCTGATAACTGGGCAACCAGAGGAGGCTTGGAGAAGATCGACTGGAACTCTGCTCCCTTCGTAGCCAGGTACCGCAATTTCAGGGCTAGGGCTTGCAAGTGGAATGGACAGCCAAGCATCACCAAATGCGCAGTGAATTCACCGGCTAACTGGTGGACATCTCCTGTATACAAACAGCTGAGCTCTGCCAAGCAAGGCCAGATGAAGTGGGTGAGAGATAATCACATGATCTACGACTATTGCAGAGATTTCAAGAGATTCAACGGCAATATGCCACCAGAATGCTTCAAGCCACAGTTCTAAGTTAGAGACGTTCCAACTGCGCAAATAGATTTTCCTTTATATTTCCATATAAAATTGATTTCATTGTTTTCGCTCATGTCAATCTGAGTTTTGTAGCATTCTCCCTCCGTTGTGAATACAGAGTTCAAGTATGTTCACATTCATGGCTGCTGCAATCATACTGTTAACCCCATCCCTAAATGTGGATTGTAATCGGCTAATGAGTTCTCATATTCAATCCAGATACAAGTATGGGATCCGAATCAAATGAAGTATGCCCAGAAATTCGCACTATCAACCTGACGCTCGACTGCAATAAATTAGGTTATGCTTGCAAAGCCAGATTCCAATCACAAGAAAAACTGAAAAAGCCGTACCGATCAAGTCGAAACCGATGCTTGTTTCTTCCCCTAGGACAGTAGAAGGCTGATAGCGCTTCCGATTGAAGAGACGAGCTGCGCCGTCCACTTCGGTGCGGAGGCATAGGCGGGGGTACATTTGTTTGGGAGATAAAAGGTCGAACTGAGCAGAGCCCCGCGGCGGATTAAGGCATTGGTGGCGCCCCGCGACGTCACCGGCCCGCGGCTGTGACGATAACCTAACGGCAGCGGAGCAAGAAGAATTCCGGCATTTTGGACTAGCTATGAGAGTGACGACTGACGAGACGACTGCCGAACGGGTAACGAGTAACGACTTGTTTGTTGGACTAGAACAGTCACTTATGTTTGTGGTTACTACTAAACAATCACGAATATTTGATTGTGAACAGAAAATGATGTTCTTCCTTAAATCACATTGAGCCAATTTTTTGTTTCAAAATAAATTAAACTGGATTCAAATTGAAGAAATGTTGATGAGGTGAGATTTACAACTACTAACCCATGGTTCTCCAACTTGTTTGGCTTGTTCATGCACCGCAATGTTGTACTTGTAGTCGTAGATACAAGGGGTAAAATACCTCGAGTGCCACTTAAGTTTGAGAATTGGGGTCGTCATACCACTTAAGTTTGAATAGGGCGTCGGGTACCACTGAACTCTATTATATGTGCACCCGGTACCACTTAAGTTTACTCCTAAGTGCATTCCGTTAAAGTTGACAGAATATTCTTGGAATATTCCATTTTCTAAATTTCATAATTGGTCCTTCTACTTTTGTTATTGTAAAAAAATCATTTGGACTTATGAAAAACATCATTTTTTATTGGTTAGTTAGAATTCTCTTTTGAATACTTGATACCAAACCAATTTTTGAATAGAAAATTTAAAATTAATTATCATTATAATTATTTTCAATTACCATTATGTGTTCTAATAATTTAATTCTTCCATGCATGTTGTAACTAAACAATGTTGCAGCTTTTATAGTAGTCATATTTCTTTTCTATATTTTTTACTGAATGTCGTAGCTTTTATATCTTATTTATTACTTGGTTACTGTCCATTTCTTTCGTTCTAAATTTTTTCAATTAGTGGAATATGTTTAATTCTTTCTTATTGTGTTCCAATTATCCTTCTTTGATTTTGATGTATTGATAATCGATTAGGTTATATTTTAATTATTTCTAATGGTGCTTCTAATGAATTAGGGGATTTCAATAGATATTCTAATATTAATTTTAAATATTTATTATTATATTCTAGTATATTTATTATTCATCTTGATATTTATTTACTATTTTTACTAGTTTATCTATTTTATTAAAAAAAATTGATTAATCATTCTAGTAATAATATGTTTAGAAGGTTTTCTAATTATTATATTAGATAAAACTTGTTGAAATATAGTTATAGATGTTTTAAAAAGTTTTGGGTATAAAAAAGGAATTGAAATTTTGGATTGGATGGAAAAGTAGACGGATGCACATTTTGACGACTTTAGTGGTACCCGACGCCCTATTCAAACTTAAGTGGTATGTCTACCCCAATTCTCAAACTTAAGTGGTGTCCGAGATATTTTACCCTAGATACAAGGGAGAATGAATAGACGTTCAATAGATTGTTTCAATCAATTAGTGTACATACAGTTCAACTCGAGGTTGATGGCCAAGAAGAAGAGGACAAAATAGAAAAAAGAACATTGATATTTTTTCAAGTACTAATCACCTGAAGCACAAGATTTCATGTCTGAGAGATGGGGTGATCATGCTATTATCATTGCTATGTATGTGTCCATAGCTGAAGATGAGGGAGCATATGGCGCACCATCGAGTGTCATTATAGATGCAATGGCTAGTGAACAACTTGAGCTTCGTAGGGATGCAAGAGTGCGAGAGCTCCATGATGACGAATTTGAGTATGAGGAGGAAGAAGAGGAAGATGATGAGGAGACTACTTTTAAGGATGTGAAGATGAAGTGGTAGCTGGACGAATCTACTTGGATGACGAGGAATGAACTTGTTTTTATGTGCTTATTGTTTAGTGTGTTCTACTTTCTATGAACTTGTTATTCTAGGAGATGGAAAAATAGTCATACTTGTTTGTTGTTATTTGTTACGTTAAGACTTCAGTGTTTCTAATTTTATATGAACTTATAATCATGTGAAATTATTTTAGAAAACAAAAAATTGATTTTTTTTCATTTTAGCTTCAAACATCTAAGCGCGCCTAGACAACGCTTGACGAGCTAACCGTAGGCAGGTGCCCAAGTTGCCCAACACCTGCTTTATACGGAGTGCTTTCTTGAACAAAAAAAAGGAGAATAGGCTCTCGTTATCATGGTGTCCATAGTGATTGCTCAAAGTTGTGACATTATTAGACTTTCAAAAATTTTATTAATATTGAAAGAAATAAAACCCCCCAACTCCCCAACCACTGTAGCACAAGACTGCTTTTACTATAGCTTTAGACTCATGTTTACTGTTATAACTTGTTGTGTTATCGTGTGTGGGCAGGTGTAGGTGAGCTTTGGTTGCTATCAAATGAGATATCAAATGGTTTAGTTGGATCTCAGCAACCTTTTTGCTAACCCCTTCCTCGCGTTGGTCATGCAGAAGCCTAATGTGCCATTTGATTATGGGGTAAGTCTGTTAGATATAGGGAGAGGCTGAGTGGGGTGAGATATTTTCTCATTGTTCGAGGTCCAAGGAGCTCTTGATTGGCTGGGGTTTTTTTTGTAGTTGTTTGAGGGTTAACACGTCAGTGCAATTGCCTTGGTTATGAGCATTACCACGTCGCTATCTTGGTTCTTGCGTCACTTTTTCCTCTCTCTCGCTCTATACTATTCTCTTTTTGTCGACGAATTGCAATTGAGCGGACCAGGAAGCTATTTATTTACCACACATCCTACCTACCACTAAATAGTCCTTCCTTCCATTTCACACCCATCCATGTTTTCTTTCTCATTCCTCATTCTTCCTCTCTCGCTAATCTCTCTGTCTTCTCACATTGAGAGTCAAAGAAAACTCTGTTCAATTCCTCTCTTTCTTCTACCTTTCTACCTTTCAGATTTCTTACCGCAAGCAATGGACAGAGGCCCTCTACTGGTATCTTCTTTATCGACTGAAATTGTGATGATATGTGGAGGAATGGATCTGAAAAGTGAATCTGAAAAGAAAGAACTCCACTAATCGATATGGGATTCTAGAAAGTATTCTTCGGTTCCTCTATGACTTCCACTATCTTCGCCCTCACGGACATTGGGTTGTCTCCTTTCTCACCTTTCTCTCTAGATTAAGAAGGATCTTTTTTTTACGAATGATTAAGAAGCAGAGAAAGGTATATCTGCATATTTGCATTTTAGGTTAAGGTAGTTGCTCTGTCTACTGAGTTTGTTTCTCTGTATTTTTACATGAGTTCTTTCTCTCTTTGTTTCATCAGATGGATCCTTTTGATCACTAAGAGAAGCCATTGGCATAGGATTGATTGGATTCTAGAGAGGATTACTGGGAAGAAGCAGAGCATGGATTTACTCGGTTATATATTTTGAATCACCGTAATCTCTCTCACGACAAACGGTGAGTGTCTCGAGAGTTATTCTATCTATTTGTGGTTTTTTGGGTGTGTCTTCGAGATCCCCCATGATCTCTCTCCAATCTTCTAGATCTCTCCCTGATTACATATCCTTTTATCTAATTTTCCTGATTCTTATATGATTGAAGCTTCTTGCCTTGCGCAGATTGGACATACCATTCCTTGTGCTAAACGAATTGGCATTAAATGGGGGTCGTCATGAGGATTCGAAACCATGACCTTTCGGTTCTAGACTCTGATACAATGTAACGAACAAACCACTTGAATCTAATAACTCGAGTGGTTAGGAAATGGTTTGTTAAGTATTTTAATCTCTTACAGAATGAGAGAGGAACTCTCACGACCTGTTACTGTAAGTCTCAATTCATGTAATATCTCTCTCTCGTGTTATCTATCCCAATTTTTTTGGTTCCTTCTCTTTTCTGGATATTTATCATCTTTGTTTGTTCTCTTGAAGACGATTCTGCATTGGGAAATGGACTATCTAGGTGAACTTGGGAGTCGTGGTGTTGTTTCTTAGGTTGAAGGCACCTAACAATGATGGTTTATCTGTCTTGATATCTTTTGTTGGATTTACGTGGGTACTCTTCTCTCTCTTTTTCTTTTTTTTTTTGCTAATTCTATTCATTGTATATGTTCAAATCCTGTTTTCTATTGATAAATAAGTGTTTAACTTAATTGATCTATTTGGCTTTTATCAGCAGGTGCTGCAAGTTACTTCGCCATAAATTTCTGGCCATACTGCAACTTCCATCCTTTTAGGTATAGTTCACTTTAGAGTTCTTGTACCGTCTTTTATTCACCATTATAATACTGTATATTCTTCACTCTTAGGACACTTTTGAATCTATTCCCAAGTGTATCTTTCAGCCCAGTTCAATTGTGTAGTAGTTTTGACTGAAGTTTATCATGATGTCGTCAACAAGTCTTCTTGTAGCATGTCCACTGTCCTTCGCATTCCTACCTTGATGGATCCTTACTGAACTTTTGGTCGTCTGGAGACTTGAGAGAATCCTTACTGATACGCGAAATGTGCATCCTGGTGTCTTAAG